GTTGCGTCAGAGCACTGAGGGAGGTCGAAGGTAGATGTACCTGCAAAAGTCATTACGGCAGGTTGCATTTGAAATCGAGAAAGCAAAACAGCATGTGGTCTTTATAAGTGATAAGTTGTAAGTCCTAATGCCATAGGGGTACAAGCACTCATATCAGAAGCCATGGTTCTTCATCGTGGAAAAGAATTCCGAGATTTTGCGGAAAGACTGCCACTGGTAGAAAGATAGGACGACAAATAGAAAGAAAAGGTATGAAAAGGTGTGAAAAGGTTTAAAGAGAAAGAAAAAGGAACAGTAAGGAGTTCTCAATAGCTGTCCAAAACCCGAGAGTCGACTAGCGGCTAAGACAGCTAAGACTTGAACTTTCGGTGTAGACACCGCGTTTAGCCCCGTTGAACACGAGAACTGTGAGGGCAGCGCAGCATGCGGAAGCGCCATCCGGACAATGTCGCCAGGAGATAGGCCGGGTAGGACAAGAGTGATAGAGAAGAGAAGAGAAGAGAAGAGAAGAGAAGAGGCCAACCTAATTGTAATGGCCTCCAACCTAAGAGCGATGGCCTCCAACCTATCCAACCCCAAAGAAAGACAATATGCCGCATGTGCTAACCCCAGACCTTTTTAGTCGAATTCTTTGTTCCTCCCCATCTCCTCTTCCCCTTCATCCGAATTGTCGTAATTCTTTTGGTTGGTGACTCTCGAGCTTCTCTGAGGGTCAAACATCCTTCTCCATATCTTTAGTCGCGACATCGTGCCTTTGCGAGTGCAGGTGATTCGCTCATCTACAGACCTCTGAGATTGTCTGAGGCAAGTGCAAATCTGCACAAGATGCGACATCTACTTTCAAGTCCTGGGTCAGATTCACACAAACAAAGCAGAAAGCACATGATGGTGACGTCGCCTTCGAATCTTGCAACGTCCTCTCAACTGTCTGTCTTCAGAACTTGACATCTGCACTGATTCAGCTTGAGCGAAGTATCTAAGCTCCTTTGGCTCCACTCCCTGAGTTCCCTACGACTTCAAGTCCAGCACAGTAATGGTGTCTCCTTCCAGTCCACAGACACCACGTGTTTCGGTTCGAGGCCAGGCCGCGACGAGTTACTAGGATGGAGGCCATCGCTAGTAGCTTGGAGACTATCGCTATTCGGTTTCCTTCAAGTCCAGCACAGTATGGACATGTTTCGCTTCACACATGTGCCATGCGATGTGCCATGCTCTGCCGCACTTCTTTGAACTGACCGTGTTCCCTGATCTGGTCTTTTTCGCTGTGTGCGATTCGCCAAAAGAGTCCAAACCAGAACACTCTGAGGCTAGCTCTCCAACCAGCCCGTCATGCCATACTCCCACAAGCGTGCAGTGTATTGTGGGCCTTCCGAAGCAATCATCGCATGACAACAAAATTACAAAGGCTCTGATGTTGAAAAAGTATAAATTGCCTGTGTTGGGGGGTGTAGGCCAAAATGAGAAGAACGAACAAGTAGTGAGTAGTAAGGGGTAAGTAGGTCGCTACCAGTAAGCAGCTCTGCTAGAAGCTAACAAACCGCGCTAGTAGGTTGGAGGCCATCGCTACTAGTACAGTAGCCGGGACGCAAAAGAGCTCAGGCTTCTTCAAGGAAGCCCCCCGGCTGAGGGCGGCAGGAGCATGATTGATCTGGTTCTTACTCTTGGGAAAACTAACATTACTGCTTCTTCGTCTTCTCCTTCTTCTCGATCTATTTCTCAATTGCAACACAGCGGGACAGTTAAAAGCTGAGCAAATCGCCTTTGTTGTGTGTGACAGAGGCTCTGGAAGTTCTTCGTATTGCTGAAGCAGGCAGTGACACGTCTGCCCTGGCACACCACGAAGCAAAAAAGGGCCGTGACCCTATGTTTGATGCTACCCAATGGTTTTTTGTTGCTTTCTTTCTTGTCTTCTTTCTCCTATGCATTGCTTTCTTTAGACCTTTAGCTGAGCTTTTGCTTTCCGATTCTTCTATTGTTTGGCCCTTTGGTCTTCGGACAAAAGCAAAAGGCGGCCAGGTGAAGAGGTCGAAGAATGCAAAGAGATCAAAAGCCTAGTGTTGAAGCTGAAGAGAGCGAAGCAAAGGAGGCACAGGAGAACCAGTTCTGGCATTGAAGCAGCAACCACACATGCAGAATTGCATGCAAGCAAGCCCAGTCTCATTGTACAACTTACCTTAGTATCGCTGCAACGAAAGCCTACTACAAAACAGAAAAAGAACAAATGAGCCACAAGAGATCAACATAAAGTAGTGAGGAATTTTAGTTGGTATAGTAGGTAAAGTCATGCTGGTTCGTGAGGAGGAGTGAGCGAGAAACCGCCGATGTGTAAGGAAACCCGACAAGTGAGTGAGTGCAACTAAGCCTTGGGAGGATTGTGGGTGAGCAAACGATAGAACACGAAACCTGCTGGAGGATAGCAAGGACTAAAGTCGAAAGGCGATGGCACCGCAAAACTGATGGCACCGCAAAACTTGCACAAAGAACAGGCACAAGCGATGCTTGCAATGGTTTCTGCCAAGAATACACGAATGCTGCACGAGGACGGCGCACGCTCTTGCAAGCCAAAGGAAACATGAAATGAACGAACCAAAACCGAAAGAATTCGTGTTTCTAATAGCTTCTTGCTCCTGGTAGTAAGGCCAGGAGCCCCGAAAGAATTGATTTTAGATTTACACTGGTTCCGAACATGACTTCTCAGCTCAAAAAGTTTCCCAAGGTAGAGAAGACTCAATCTAAGTTCCAAGCATTTCGTTTGTGTCGAGTCTGGTTTCTGGTGCAAACTGCTGGTTTGATCTTTGGAATGAGGCATGCCAAACACGGCAGCCACCCAGTCCGATCTTGCGACTTTCTCCTCTCTCGAGGCTTGTGATTGGGTTCCTCGGAGGTGCCAAAAGTGTGCAAAAGCATCATTCTGCAAAACGAAAAGCAAAACACAATCAGGACAGTAGGTTAGAGGCCATCACTAGAAGGTTGGAGGCAATCACTAGTAGGTTGGAGGC